TAGCTGCGGAATAGGCAGATCCACGTTTAGCGAACCAGTAGTTGCCACTCGGTCTCAACAATAATAACAGGCTGTGGGAAGCTGCAAGCCATCCAATCATTTCTTGCCGATCCAGCCCTGCGAGCTTGACTTTCACCCAAACTTCCAATCTAGTAGAGAAGCCAAGTTGCATGGAATCTGTCTTCAAAAGCACTAGAGCAACAACGGCAGCCGGTCCGTCCGTATTTCTGTCGATAGACTGAGTGATGAGCAGATCGGTCTCGCAGTGGGGAAGAAGCTGCGCTTCGCTAAGAAGAGCTGAATATTGGTTTGGAAAGTTACAAACTGACGGGACAACTCGGTCTTTCGCGGGACATAAAGTTAGGTTGCAATGCTCTTTAATACCACCTTCACAGTGCTCCTACGCATGAGAGGTCCGAGCCGCCCTCGTGAAGGCTCGGCGCATACAATGGAGACTAGGTTGCGTGTGGCACACGCAGACGAGCTACTTAGATTTATCAGCCATTTCGTCCGGGTTCGCCTCCGGTCATCTTGACACGGCCTCGCCACCGGAGTCGTGTGGATGGAGGGGAGAGGATGATAGACGCCGCGCAAGTAGGCCTTACTACAATGTGTGATTGGTCTGAGAGGCGAGTCTTCGGCCGTTACGTAATGAAAGACTTAAGCAAATAGCGAGACTACTTTTGCTGCGTTTAACCATCTGGTCGTTACGAACACTTTCTCTTGGTGTCCTACCTGTTGTTCAAGTCACACTTAAAATCAAGTTGGAGACACGCCGGTGCTAGCGCACCGCACCAGCTCGGTGTCAGACTCCCTCACAATATACTTTGCTGACGCCGGCGATGAGAACAGCTACGACCATGTTTTTACAGGGTCTGGATTATGATTAGACCACGCATTACCGGAAGAGCACGACGTGTGAGGGAGGGCGGTACTGGTCGTCTCGAGGACTTGGCCACCATCATTGACATCTGTCCGGCTGGCTCCTAAATTCCATCGCCCTGACGTAGATGACAGCTGACTCCGAGGCATCTCCAGTCGAAATGTGTGCATATATTTCCCAGCTCGTAGTCTATAACAGGCGTCGTGGCCATAATTTGTTACCCGGTGAAGAGATCCAACGTTGTCCTTTGCCCTTAAGTAGCGAGCGGCCGCCGAGGGTTTCTTGCATTGGGTTCTCATCACCACTTGCTGACTACCATCAGGAAGGTGTTATAAACCCAACACGACTCGCACATTTTACGATGACTTGGAATTGCCAAAAGCCTTTGCGTCAAAGGCAGGACCATCCACTTCTGGTAGATCATGTTTTTCAACCGGTTACTTCAGATAATACTGCAGCTCATGGACCAGGTATCAAACGTGGGACCCTCTTGTCGATCGGCGATATGCTAGTGATGCTATAACAAATGGTTCAGCCACTCAATCCATTAATATGACTGGGCACGCGTCCACGGCGTCAAGTCTTCAAACCCCTGTCGAAATTGCCGTCGCTGCTGTGGTAACCAACTAAACAGTGGGCAGAGTATACCAGGTCTGCAGCCTTTGAACGCCACGCTAGGTCTCAGGCTGCACTGGTGCATGTCGTGAACTTCGAGGCTGGCTAAGCCCCCATTGGCGCTGGTCGATATAATGCAATTACTGGTCTGCAACAAAGTCATGACGAAGCAGGTTCTCTTGAAATTTGAAAGTGGTGTGAGAGGGACCATGGCTGGCCTGTATAACGAATTGGATACCTTCGTCTTCGGACGCCATTATAGTTCTGGTAAACGAGCATGGGACCTAGCTGTACTGATGAGACAGTATCAATGAAGTAGAGGCTGATGAATGATGGAAAACTTGCAGAAAGTGTTGTAATTTAAACGGAAGTTAAAAACCACATCTCAGTGAGATCGTGAGCCATTAAGGAACGCAATGCATGAAAATATTTGCAACTTCTCGACGCAGATATCGCTGCCTCGGGAAATGATAAATATATGTTTATCATGGTAGCGGATGGCTTCTCGTACGTTTAGCCTCTCCTGACTGTTACTTCCATGCGACGTAAGCGCTGCGAATGGCCATGAGTAAGCTATTTAAAAAAGGTCAAGATATATATTCAGTACTTACCTAAGAACACAGAAGACACCAGCAGGCATCAGCTTTCCCGTTTGGACGAAACGAAATCCCATTACGGCACCCAGGATCCCACTGGACACTACAGAAGAAATTGAATATCCGAAGTGGCAAAGTGAAAAGTACCGAAGAGGAGGGTGGCGTTCCGATTATCTTGACCCAATTGGAAAGATCCAAGGGCAAGCAGGACACCAAAGGCGAGACCCGATACTAGAGATGCGACGCTTCCTAGAGGTCATAACTCAAAATGGAAATGATTCGGACCTGATTTGTAGTAACCAAATGCACCGCCCGCACTGACAAGTAGAGCAAACGATAGACCCAGAGTATCGAACATAACCACTCTGCACAAGAATTCGAAAGACAAGGTAAAGCAGTTCTGATTGCGAGAAAAACTCGATGTTCATTTAAGTGAACATCGCATATTGAATTTAATATGCGCAAGCACATATTCACATTTCTCAACATTTAATCTAAACTTATAAGCTTATAATATCATGTGATTAGACCTAATAACATGAAAACGTGAAGATACATCATATTCGCGCACATTAATTGAAGGCACAAACTGGAGCGAGTGACCAAATAAGCGATATGCGGACGTGCTTCAGAGTGCTGAAGAGTGATTGGTCGAACATTTTCTCGAGAGCTGCGGCGGCTTCTGGGACCTTTCTAGAGTTTTACTTTTGCGAAATTATTTTTTATGATACCTCCAGCCACTAAGAGACCCGGAGTATGTCATTAAGAGAGTCGGCTAAGTGAGAAGTTAGCATATGGTTACTAGCTTTGAGCCTCACTCAACTCGCTCAAATTTTACCTGGTTAGTAAGTTTATTAGTTAGTTTATTTAGCTAGTTAATCGTTAGTCAGTTAGTTTAGTTAGGCAGTTTGTCAGTTAGTCTAGCTAGTTGGTCGGTTAGTTAGTCAGTATAGCTAGTTAATTAACATTGTTAGTTTGGAAGTTAGTTATTTAGTGACTTTAGTTTCGTTTAGTTTAGTTTGTTAATTAGCTAATTAATAGAGTTAGTTCGTTATTAGTCAGGTTGTTAAGTAAGGTAGTTTAGTTAGTTTGGTTAGTTAGTTAATTAGTTAGTTGGTAAGTTAGCAGGCTGGTATGGTTGGTAAACAGTCATTCGTCGATTAGTCAGTCAGTATAGCTTGTTAGTTACTTAGTGAGTTTGGTTTAGTTTAGTTTGGTTTGTTAGTTAGCAAATTAGTTTAGTTAGTACCTTGTTAGCCAGTTAGTTTAGTTAGTTTGGTTAGTTAGTTAGTTAGTTAATTAGTTGGTTAGTTAGTTAGAAGGTTAGTATGTTTGGTAAAGAGTCGTTCGTTTTTAAAGTCTCACATACTTCACCAAAAATTTGTGTTTTTTATGGCTTTTGGCTTCTAGTGGTCCGTCCAGAAACGCCATCCTGTTAGACATGACGATATGAATGTGCCTATTGCCATTACCTATATTAGCGGTGAATTGCATGGGAAACGGTCGATATTAACGGTTGTAAATTGGCAACGCCATTATTTAAAGGCAATTGTCTATCGCATTTTTCCTCTGATAGCCATATTCCTTTGCTTTTCAATCATGCTGTATTTTGCCGTTTATTTGTTTTACCTAACAAATGTCATTTTTGTCTGTTTACGTTTTGGTTTTTCGGTTGCGCGCTCGATTAGATTCGTCCGCATGTGGCTTTATTTAACGCATCGCCAAACTGGATGGACTTTCTTTTGCAAGTGATTAAAAAAGCGAAATGCGGACGGGTTTCAGAGGGCTGAAGAGTGATTGGCCAAACATATTTTCGCGAGCTTGGACGACTTTTGAGACCTTTCTTGAATAGAAATTTCGCGAAATTATTTTTCATGATGCTTACAGTCACTGAGAGACCCGGAGTATGTCATTAAGATAGTCGGCCAGATCTGAAGTTAATCGCTTTGACAGTCTCCCGCACCTCGCCCAAACTTAATTTGGTTAGTCATTATTGTCAATTATTTAATTGTTAGTAAAATAGTTCAGTTAGTTATTGAGAGAGTCAGTCTATTTAGTTAGGTTTTTGTCAGTTAGGTTAGTTAGTGAAGGTGTTAGTTTTGCTTGTTAGTCTTCTTAGTTAGTTAACTAACTAATTCAATAAACTAACTCACTACCTAAGCCAACATGACTAGCAACCAACTAGACTAACTCACTAACTTACTAAGTAATTAGTTGTTAGTCAGTTAGTATAGGTAGTTCGTACATTTGGTTAAATACTTAGTTCTCAGTCAGGTAATTATTTAGTATATTTTATCAATT